GTAGTAGTAGCAGAAGCAGCAGAAGTAGTAGTAGCAGTAGCAGCAGAAGCAACAACGGAAGAAATAGTCGCTGTCGTCGTATTCGTAGTAGTAGTAGTAGTAGTAGTAGTAGTAGAAGAAGTAGTAGTAGTAGTAGTAGTAGCAGTAGTAGCAGTAGTAGTAGTAGTAGTAGTAGTAGTAGTAGTAGAGGAGTAGGAGTGGTAAGGAGTAGTAATAGCAGCAACGGCAGCAGCTGCAGCAGCAAAATCAGTATCATGGTAGTGACAGTAGCAGTAGCAGCGGCAGTGGCAGCAGCAGCGGTAATGGATACGCAGTGGTAATGATATTGGTAGTGGTGTGGTAGTGGTAGTAGTAGTGGCACTGGCAGCGGAATTGGCAATGCTAGTGGCAGCGGCTGTGGCACAATGCTAAAAGAAGTAGCAGCATCCGTTGCCATGCTAGTAGCACCCGCAGAAACAACAGCAGCAGAGCAGGAGGCAAAGTTTAGTGGTAGTTGTTGTAGGCAGCACCATTATAGTAGTAGCCGTCGTTGTCGTAGTAGTGGCATTGGCAGCAGTAGCTGTAGCGGTATAGTGGTAGTCGTAGTAGTGGCAGCAGCAGCAGGAGCAGCAGTAGTAGTAGTAGTGGTCGTCGTCGTCGTCGTCGTAGGAGCAGCAGCGGCAGCAGTAGTCGTCGTCCTCACAGCAGTATAGTGGTAGTGCAAGTGATACTGATACTATTTGGAAAGTAGCAGCTGGTGATACTGATACTATTTGGAAAAGTAGCAGCAGCAGCAGCAGCAGCAGCTGCAGCAGCAGTACTAGTAGTAGTTTTGAGTAGCAGTAGCCAGGAAGTCTTGCAAGCTCAATGACCAAGCAAATATGTGTAGCATCGCACGGGGGGCCAGCTTCAGTGCAACAAAAACAGCTCCAATCCCTCCTGGCCCATGTTCATCTTCTCCGCTGTCCAGCGGCGCTGGGCTGCATCAATGAGAGCCCACGGCCTTTCAATCCGTGAAGAACGGGTCATGTGCATTTTTATGAATGGATTCTGCACGTCTGGATTCTGTGTAAAATGCTCTTGAGATTTACCGCCGAGGGCAGGTTCAGATTTGGAAGCCCAGCTACCACCCACACCCGCACCCTGGCTTCTTCACATGCCTGCCCAGCTAAAGCCTATACGTCGCCATGCGACTAGCAGGAATTATGCAGGATGCACTGCTACCCTGGGACCTGCAGCAGCACACGACCATCAACAGCAGCGACAGCAACAACATCACCAACAACCACAACAAAAACAACGACCGTAGCATATATTCAATCACCCCGCAGTTGCAAAAGCAGCAGTCACAAAGAACAAAACCACAGATTCTGAACGGCACGGCTTGGACAAACTGCTTGTTTTAATAGGCGTCAGTCCGTGTTTACAAGTAGGTTGTCCCGATCTTGTGGCAATCCTCCCTAAGCCCTAAGCCCTAAGCCCTAAGATCCTCGACTCAACCCCCTTTGTATAAACCCGTGTTTTTAACCCTGACGGGTACCCTTAAAGCCCTAAAGGCACCCTTACGGGAAGCCTTAAAGCAGCCCTTTAAGGGACCCCTTTAGGATACCAAGACTGGCTGAGGAGCAGATTCAACTCCATGCAGCGCTCCGCAGTCCTTAGAACTTGCTGCGTTAAAGGGATTATAGGGGCTTTGGTGTGTGTCTGGCTTTGGGGTTTTGGGTTTTCAGGGTTTTGACTCACACACTCGCACGAAGCAGGTAAGGGGTCTGCGGGGTCGTTAACGCTTCAAAAGGTTACAAGATAATTCATGGGGGTGTTAGTGCTGAGGGCTCTGGGGTGTTGGGGTCTGGCGCTGCGGGGTTTTGGGGCTCAACTGGATTCCAGTCTTAGGAAGCCCTTTTGGCAACTGGCTTCACACCTCGCCTTAGAAAGCCCTGAACCCTGAACCCCAAGGGTCTTCCAGGGACATCAGCTCTTCTGCCAAGGATTCCTTTCACGGCCGCAGTAAGTACCCTTATAGTACCCTTATGGTCCCCTCATGGTGCCCTTGTACTACAAACCCATCGGCAAGATGACACCTTCACCTCGCAGCATCTTGGAGGCAGGTGCTTGCCGGGCTTCGGAATGGTGTTTCTCGGTCTTTGCACATGGAAACAGTTTTTGTGCGACAAACAGTCAGGCTGCTTCCCTTAACTTGGCCTTATCATTGGCTCCCGTCCTTGATTATGGCTGTTTCCGAAAAGAGGGGACCCTAATATAGTACCCTACATAGTAGGATCCTTTCTTTATAAGGATCCCCAAAAAAACGGTCCCCTTGATTTGCGGAAACTCCCATTAACATAGTACCCTATAAAGGATCCTTCTTATAAGGACCCCAAATCTAAGGTAATACCAGGTGCCCTTTTTACAGCAGGCCTCGTACACAGCAGCCCAGGTGCCCCTAAACCCCAAACCCCTAAACCCCTAAAACCTAAACCCCTAAACCCCTAAAACCTTTTGCATCCAGGCCTAAAACCTAAACCCCTAAACCCTAAACCCTCAGTTTCGGAAACTCCCATGTCCCTTACGTGCCCCCAAGGATCAAGCGCTCCAGGACTGCTGTGTTCGTGACACCATTCTCAACCATCAGCCTGGCAGGGGCGCTGTGGGGTTTAGGGTTCAGGAGTTTAGCGTTTTGGGTTTAAGGTTTCTTTTTTTGACCGGTTTAAGGGTTTAGGGTTTAGGGGTTTAGGGGTTTAGGGGTTTAGGGGTTTAGGGGTTTATGCAAGACGTCTGATGGACACTTCGGACGATTCCTCGGACGAAGCAAATGCACAACCTCAGGTGGGGGCGCATAAAGGAGCGAGACGGTGCGCTCATAAATCAGTCGCGTTTTTTGCGACAACTATAATACCGTTTCCATGTGATCAGAGGGTGCACGACATCCAGAGGGCATAGAACAGCCTTTTGGGTCGGGCGAAAACTACACGCTTTAAAAGACTTCCAGCTGCGATCGATACGATCCCTGAAAAGCTTGCGGACCTGGATCAAACATGTTGGTGCCACTGTGACCATAGGAACCGGGTCGAAACAATCCAGGAAAGAGAGCGCCTGTCCCCTTGTAATTCCCAGCTGAAGCCTGTGCCTCAGCGCAAAGAACTTCAAAGCATGCAGAAAGACGGTACATTGTTTGGCGAAAGGAACTTCTGAGAAACTGAGTGAAGCATAGTCCTGCTCAGTGGCAAAAGCTGTCTGGACAGTTGTCTTCCACTCGAAGGGAATAGAAGTCTGGCTCCAGGTGGCCAGGTTTTGCGGGGCCATCCAACCAGTGCATTCGGAAAACCAGAAATAGAGCTCGGCAATACTCATTCCTGAGGAAAACTCACACCACTTTTGCTCCGACCACCACTTGTGCACCACCCAAAGAAACCTTGGACCCAGGAGACCATCCTCGTATGTGTCCTCTGGTAGCACAGATAAAGAAGGCAAAGGCCGCCCTAACTGCAAAGAGGCACCATCATCAGTTGAAGGATTCCTGTTGAACTGAGGGTCTTTGATTTCTTGGGCTGGTCTCCCTTGGAAGACAGCCTTTTGGAGAAAAGCGAGCAGTGTCATCCTTTGTACCTGAAAACTCCAGTCTTTTGAAGCTGCATGATAAGCTGTGCTCTCAGAGGCTTCTCTGGTCTTGTTTGCTCTTTTCGCCTCCTTGTCAGCTTGATCATTTCCATAAGCTGTCCAGGCTGCAAAGTCATCTGGCTCTTCCTTGTAAGATCGGTGCGACTTCACATGGACAAAGCTCCAAGCAGAAGGATTCTTAGCCTTGAGGGTCTTCCAAAGTAGAGACCACAGCTCCACCTCTGTGTTTTTTGCCCAATAAAAAAGATCCCATCCATCTTTCTGAAGACGTTGAAGACCCTGCACCACGGAAGAATTGTCAATGTACAAAGTTGCGGATGGAGATGAATGGATAGCAGCCAGTGCTGCAAACAACTCTGCACGATAATTGGACTGCTTTCCAGGCAGAGGTCCCGATTGGACCACAGCATTGTCAAAGGAACCTGGCTCCATCATGACGACAGACCAAGCAGATCTCGGAATTGCGTTACCACCGTCAGTAGACCCATCTGTGAAAAGATGCATGTCCTGGTCCAAGCACTCGGGCATAGGAGGCCACGGTCGATCATCATTAAGCTGCTCCCAAGCTTGCAGAGAAGTTGGCTTACGAGAGAGGCCTCTTTCGGTGAGCAGTCTAGGCCATTGCTCAGCTTCCTGCACAGGGAAATTGTGACGAGCTGCTGCATAAAAGGGGCAGTGCAGCAACCGATGCGTTGCATCATCATCCTGACCACAATGTTTACAGACTGTCTCATGCACCGGCAGAAACTTTTTCTTGATTCTCGTAGGGACAGCTGCATTGGAAGTGAAGGACCCCAAGATATGCGGCTCCACCTTTGTAATATGACGAAGCTTGGTGGAGAAAGCAAAGTCAATTGCTTGTAGACCTTCCAGACCGTCTTTATCTTGAAGCTTGACTGCTACATGACAAAGCCATGCTTGCGTGACCTGCTCTGTAAGATGGGCAACAGCCGCCAGACACAAGTGATTCACTGCTCCAGATGGGAACCATAGTTGCAAGTCTGGCTGCACAAGTATCCCAATTTGACCACACATCTCAATCAGGTAGCGTATAGGCCCATTGCCTTTAGGAGAGGCCACCACTGCATTCCAGATGAAGACAGTCTTGGCAGGATTCCTGGCAAAAGCTCTTCGGATGTCTGCCATTCGCAGCTTGAATATGCGGATGTATGGTTCGTAGGTCTGTTTCAGAGAAAACAGGGGACCCAGAAAGTGGTCTCGATGATGATCTTGGCCCCAAATTGCAGCCGAAAACTTGCCACGCAGCGTTGCAATGTACGTGGCAGGAGTTGAAGCCCAGGACACTCCATGCAGCAATGAGGGGCAAATAGTGCGGTTGAGCACCTCGACCTTTCGTTGTGCTGTCCATGGCATTGCCTGTAGCTTTTTCAGCTTGGCCTCATTGGACTTCAGTCTCTGTTGTAGGCTGCAGGAAGTCGGTTTCAACGTAGAAGTAAAACAGACTCCCAAATCATCATGAGAGTGGCAGACCTTGACTCGGTGACCAGCGAATACCAGTTTGCCAAGCTGACATCGAAGCCCAGCAGTGGTAGCGAAGGCTCTGGTCTTATCAGGATTAAGCAAAAGCGCCAACGACTGAGTGGCATGAAAGACTCTGTCAAGACCAGTGTTAAGCCCATGAATTGACCTGTCAAGCAGCGTCCAGTTATCGACATAACTCAGAAAACGAGCTGTGTCATTGCTCGCTGTAGTCCAGTTTGTGACCAGAAATGTAGTCATAATCATCACTGGCACAGCAATGGGGCAGCCTTCAGGGACTCCATTGGTACTGTGAGTTGGGCTATGAAACCCTCCATGCAGCTTGAAGAAACGATGGAAACTTCCAAGGAAGTTCAGATAGGCATTTTTTAGGCTAGGAGGCCAGCCACACCGATCAGCCAAAGCAGCCACAACCTGACGTGGAATAGTATTGTATGCCTTTGACAGGTCCAGCGAGACTCCCAAGGTTTGCTGGTCGTCTGATGCGGCTTGCTCCAGCATAGCTTGAAGTTCCCATGCTGCATCGCATGCCGACCTTCCTGGCACCGAGCCAAACAAGTCATCCGGCAAAAAGGGAAGCAGCGCTTGCATAATCTTCATCCCCATGATCTTGCCCCAGAGCCTGTAAAGTGTAGGCAAGACAGTAATGGGCCTTGCGTCCTTTGGTGTTTGAGGCTGTGGTACCTTTGCAAGAAGTGCCACAAAAGATGAAAGGAGCGCCTGCGGCCACTCACCCGTCTGAGTGATGAGATTGAAGATTTGGGCGAGCATACCATGCTCCCGTGGTCCCAACGCCTTGAGTTCACCAGCAGAAAAACCATCCATCCCTCTTGCTTTGCCAGCGGGCATCTTGGCGATTACGTAGGCAACTTCCTGAGGGCAAACGGTATCGTCAAATTGAGGGATCTGGGGCAAGCACTCCACCATTTGTGTAACCTGGCCCATATCCGGTCCACTGTCAGGCTGCCAGAAAGTTTTCCAGAACGACTGTACTTGCGAAGCAATATACCCAGTATCTGTAGACCACACCTTCTGTTGCACTGTCTTCAAAGATCGGATAGCCGCCGACGCTGAAATGTCCAGCTGAGCTTTGGATCCCACCACCTTTGTAACAGCTGCATTGCGTGGGCCTTCTGACGTAGGAAAGGTCAATTGCGCCCCCGGGGGGGTAGGGGTGTCATCCAGAAAAGAAATTTGAGCTGCCTTGTCTTTATGGCACCTGAGCAAAGTAAAAGGGCGCTCTTGGACCACCATCAAGGAATCCAGTGTCCCAAGTGGTACAGGTTTGATTGAAGCGGAGTGGAGTCGCCCACCCTTGGACCAATCAGCTCGCATCGCTCTGGCAATCCTAGCGTTCTTTTCTTTGCTCTGCAGTTGTTGGAGAATTTTGCACTCATAACCCAGCGCCTGTACTACACGATCCAGCCATTCATCATCAGGCAACTGAAATGGAATCCATGGAACCACGTCATGATTCAGAAGCCATTCTGAGAAGCATGGACAGAACCCTTCACACTGTAACAGGTGCTTCCAGAGAACATGCCGTTTGGGCAGGTCCTTGTTCTTCAAGCGAAGTGCTTGAAGTTCTTGTGCCCATCGGTATGCCTTATCAAGACAGAAAGCCTTGACACCATCCGACGCGGATTGCGAAGCCGGATCCACCGTCACAGGCTTGTCCTTTTTGCATTGGATCTTACATCTAGTGCGACCCAGCAACTTCGGGGGCGCCGGGGTGTGAAAGACTTGACGATGGGCTCTATCAATCTTGTCTTCAAAGGCTTTAGCAAACACCTGAAGTGCATTGTGGGTATCAGCCGAGCTGACAGCTTCCTGAAACTCCTGAAGGAGACTGGACGAAGGTTCCAACTGTGAGACAGCTGCGAGAATCCTTGGGTTGTCGTCAAGGGCTCGAGGAAAAGACCACCGAGGCACGACCGGTTGATACATGTCCCAATCAAATGAGGCCGAAAGAACAGCATGGTCCGAGAACCCACATGGATCGACAATCAATGACTGAAACACAGTGGCAGCTGCCCTGTTGCACAAGATATAATCAAGGCGACTATGTCCCTTGTAGGTAGGTTCTGGCTCCGCACCCATCAGAGAAGCTTGACGTGCTGCAATGTCAACAAAACCACGAGCAACAGCAGATTGCCACGACTCCAGTTGGTTGATGTCACAATTCAGATCTCCAGCGATGATGACCGGCAACTGAAATGATTGAGCACGATGAAGAATTTTAGTCATGAGCACATCGTTCTTGGCAACAGAGTCTTTGATACCAGAGTGGTAACCATACACAGAAATAACCCGAACCTGAATGTTCCCAAGCTGCAAAAGGGCGTCAGAGATTCTACCAGAAGAGAAAACTGGACCCTCCCACTGACCAGCCAATGAGGTTGCTCTGGCTCTGGAAATACACAAAGTCCCTGTAGCAGTGGGTCTGCCGACCAGTTTGCTCTGTCTGGATTTGGAAGGAGCAACAGCTGAGCATACCAAAGAAACACCCAGTTTGCGCGCTCTCTTGAGGACCTTGTTCTGGGCTGCTGTGGTAGCACTAGTCTCAGACCAAACATGACAATCAGCTTGCATGGAGAAGTCGTCAATGTGCTTGGAGGCCGAGACTATATTACGTAGTTGCATCATCCAAGGACCTGGATTAGAAGCCTGACCAACACATGTACCGTGAAGAAAGTTCCAATCATCACACGGAAATAAGAAAGAAAGGAAAGAGGTAGTGGTAAGATCGCTGACTGTGGCAATCGAAGCACCACCCAAATAGCCGACATGCACGCGCCATTCCCAAATTTTGCACACACTGTCGCGTGTATGAATGTAGTTGCACTGCACGAATTGTAGGGCAGCACCTTGGCATTGAGGCACACAAACACGTAAATCTCCAGCTGAATTGCCGTCATAGACAACATGATTGAAACAGTGCCATTGGTACTGCCCTCGGCCCCATTCCCGTCACCCGACTCTGAGAGCCTTGGAGTCATTGGTGGGGGTGTTGTCTGGGCTGCGCTTTGCGAGGAACGTCCTAATTTCCCTGCTCTGGAGCTCCATAGCAGCCTTGAGAGCGTCTTGCAAGTCTGTCTTTGTGACGATCTGGCTGCTGAGGCTTTGCACCGAGGACTCCAGCTGGGAAACGCGTTGTTCCTGGCGAGATAGCATGGCCTCCGTTTCCATGGTACAGGTAGTTGCTGCTTGCTGGGCTTCCTGCACCTTCTCGTTGACCACATTAACAGCCTGTTGTACTTGGGCCTGAAAATCTCCAAGGCGTTGATTGACTTCATCACGTAGCTCAGCCAGTAGAGATCTGGCCGTGACCGGTGGCCCTGGAGTGGACTCCATCGAAGAGTCCTGGTGAGACTGAATGGCAGGCGCTTGCCATCTTCCAGCGGTGAAGCGGGAGACCAAAGACTTCTTGCTTGCCGGCGGGGCTGCTAACACCATCTGTTCGGGAAGGTTCGCTTGACGAACCGTCTGGCGTGTTATCAGCACGGGCTTGTTGTCGAAGTCAAAGACGTCCGTGGGTGCAGGGTCTGCTTCGGAAGCTCCCACAACCCAAGTTGTCGAAGATAGTTGTTTGAGTGGAACCGCTTTCCACTTGAGCTCCTTGATTATGCGCTGCACTGCAGCTTTGTCTGTATGAGGTGGTAGTGGTGCGACGTTCCAGCGAACCTCCACCACCAAATCAGTGAGCAATCCTTGAGGGCACCAGGCAGGCTCAATCTTCTTCCTCGTAGAAGAATAATTGGATGCGCGAACTCGAACTCCCAGCGTTTCTCTTCCCCGGACCAGTCCCAGGATGTCAGGGTGGGTCCGCTGAACTGTAGATGCACGATCCAGGTCCGTGTGGTCAAGCCATATGACCCTGAAATGTCCGGCTAAGGAAGTCTCGCCATTGGACTTGGGGATGAGAAAGACACCTCCTTTCCCAGATTGGACCAGAAATTGGTCGATCCCATTGCCCGGGATCTTGGCAAAGCAGTGCCACGTGGTCGCTGACTCAGCTGCAGCTTCCTTTCTTCCAGCAAAGTACTTTCGAGACCACGTAGTGGCAGTTGCAGCCTGAAGTCCGTCCACCATAGACCATGCATATCGGAGCGGGTTCCTGGTGACCGCGTCCCAAGAAGCTTGATATTCACGTCTCACTTCCATAGCGATCGTAGCCATGTTTTCCAGCTCGACAGTGACCCTGTGGATGGCTTCTTTTAGCTTTGCCTGCTTCTGGCCAAAATCCACCACATAGCCTCTGAGCAAGACTTTCTGGTCTCCATGCATTGCTGCAAAGGAAATAGGTCTGCAAGGCATTTGACCAGTTGCAGGGGGCGTCGGGGAAACAACGACTGCAGCCAATTCTTCTTCAGATAGCAGGTAGTTGGCCGATGCGTGCGTCTGGGTCTCTTCCACATTGAGAAGTGCGACGCCTTTTCCTTCGGCAACCAAGTGTGGCAGGATTGGTAAGGGCTGGGCATCTGCATCCAAGAAGAATCCTGGCATGAGGCTGATCGGAGCCTCGGAGACTTCTCGAGGTTGGGGCTTTGGCCCTCTGCCTTGGAGCCATGGGTCAGAGGTGGACCATGGATCAGGGCCTTTGTCACTGAGGCCGGCAGCTGTGGGTTTGCTCTTGGCCAACCTGAGCTCTTCCGGCTTGACAAGGCGGATTTTGGTCCCGGCCGCGAGAGCCCCAAAGCACTGATAACTGCCTCTGCCCTGTTGGGGGCTTCGTCTGCAGGAACACCTTTTGTCTGCAGGTGCGCTGCCAGCTTCTTGGCCACAACATCGTGCTTTCCATTGGCCTTGGCACCGCCTCGCACTCGGACATGAAGGCGTAGCAGAATTGGCCGGCCTTCCAGGGGTTGATCTGAGTCCAAATGTTTTCCATTGGACGTGGCCCAGATGGTGTCGATCGGTGGTAACGGCGGATGTGCAGTCCACTGCTCCCAAGTCTGTCCAGGAAAGGGGACAGGTAGAGGCTGGAAGGCACCAGATAACATCACCACTCCACACCAATTTGTGATTGTTCCAGGAACTGAGCCTCCTAACCCAGCAGTTTGCAAGGGCTCCGGGGGCGCTGGGCTCATGACCGAATCCAACAATCTCAAGCCTTCCTCTGGAAAATCAAGAGACCGGCTCTGTTGCTTCCACGCCGGGATCTTGGTAAGGATGTCACCCGTGGTGAGGGTCAGCGTTGTTGTCCCATCAAGAACTTGTTGGCGATACAGAACTTTGTAGCCAGCCTGCCTCTCATCAGGTGTCATCATGGATCGGGCCCATGCACTCACCGGCTGTGTTGGAGGGCACATCTTGATTTGTTCCCCTTTGTGGGTTCTGCAGATGATGGGAATCCTGCCCATGCCCAGCTGATTGGTTGGAACCACCAAAATATATCCCTCGATAGCCTTGAGCAAATTTGGGGTAGTGGAGTCACCCCAGAAAAGCTGCACTTCGTTGGGCAGGTCGTAGCCCATCTTGTTGACTGTATCGATGATGTGGGCCGCATTGTGGAAAAGGCTCCTCTTGACTGTGGCCCTTCCCACTGGGTAGGCCAGCACTGTAAGCAGCTCCCACTCTCCTTCGATGTCACAAGACAGTGTCCAGTCCCATTCCGGAAGCTGAGGCTGTATATCATGCTCAAGGCGAAGTGACGCCTGTTCATGGAGGGCCCTGATGTAGGAGTCTGCCACCCGTTCGTGGCACGTCCGGCAGGACAAGGCTCCGCCAGTGCACCGTGCGCACTTGTCCGCAATGCACAATGCACAGCCAATTCGCTTGCACATCAAACACAGCCGGAGCTGTGTGTTCATAGCAAAGGTATGGCACAGTGGGCAAGCATCATCAGTCCTTGTATTGCGCATTGCATGTAACACATCTCCGTGTTGCGGGGGGTAGTCATCTCTCACCATGATCTGATCCTTGAAGAATATGGATCCTTGTGGCAGGTCACAGTAGAGGTACACCTGCCCCACTGATTGTGCCACATCGCACTCCAGGTCTTCGAAGAAACCAGTCTCGACACGGACAAGCTTGAACAGCCGAACGCCTGTGGCCGGGGGCCGGTACTGCCTGTTGAGCTCCTCCAGCTCTTGCTGCTCCGTGCACTCTTGCACCACCCTGAAGTGGGAGTCCAGGCATGTGTCTGTAAGGCACCGGTGGCAAGCAACCATACAACATTTGGGGCAGGCCAAGATCAGAGGTTGATCAGTTGTTGCATGGCAGTGAGGACACCGAATTTCCACCTGTGTAGGCGTAGGAAGCCTCGAAGCCAAACACTCATGGTGTAGCCCGTGGCTTCGGATGTAAAAGGTGTCCATGGGGCCTTGCTTGCCACGAAGCTCCTCGACCACCTCCGCGAAGCCTTGCGACGGAGTGTCGTGCCCTTGCAAGCGGCAGACTTCCTGCGCTTGGCACATAACCAAAGCAGCCTGCAGAGGAGAAATGGACTGGCCCACTGCTTTGAATCCTTCATCTTCTTCCACCGGTAGTATGGTCTGCACCGAGAAGCCAAGGGCCCGAGCAGCCTCAAACTTACTAGCCCATCTGACATCACCATAAGCATCCCTGATGACCCAAGTCATGAGGCCTCCAGCAGTGAGGTAGTCCCTGCCGAAGGACACCGAGGATCTGTAGGACGCTGGGATTGTCGGCCAGATCATGCCCACCCCTTGCACCCTAAAGTGCATGGCACCTGACTGGGCGCCGGGAGCATGCCTAGTCCACTTTGGCAGTAGGCCCGGGTCATTCATAATCTGGAAGTCCTCCTCAGAGATCGTGACGATTGCTCTTTGACTTTCTGTCATAACAGTGATGCAGTGGTAGCTGGGCTGATAGGTGTGCTTCTCCCTGAGGATCGGATGAAGCCATCTACCCACATGCTCCCATTGTCGAACATGCACTGTATTCAAGAAAATTCCAAACCATCGCCGCCTTGTAGTGTAAGACAAGAGCTCCAAGTCATGAATGGAACTGGCCATGAGGCGGAAACCTGCCTCCTGCATCGTGGTGATAAACTGCTCGAATTCAGGGTGCTGTCTGAATCCCGCCACTTGTTCGACCATTACCAGAGCAGGTTGCAGAAGCCTTGCTGCTTGTACAGTCCGGATCAGGACCCGACCATTTTCAGAGGCGGACCCAGATTTGGTCCCCATTCCTGACCAGCTTTGGCACGGCGCAGAAACAGAAAAGGTGTTAACATTCCTGAAGTTGAAGGCGTTCGTCCATGCCAGGTTCTCGAAGTCAGAGCAGATGATCAATCTCTGATCGCTAATCGGGAAGCCAAGGTGTGCCGGGTCATGTACCACCTGTCCGGGGTGGTTTAGGCAGTAGCAACTCACTGCCGCTTTGTCGTTGTCCAAAGCCACCTGAACATCCCAGTGAGGGAGTTCTTCTGCAGCCGCAGCCCAGCCTCCCATGTATCCTGAAAAGAACTCCGCCACATTGAAGTTCGCACCCGGTGCGAACTGCCCAGCAATTCTGCAAACGCCACTACAGAAGCTTGGGGTCGGCATCTCTGCTTGCCATTGGTCTTGTGTGTCGCGCCAGCAAGGGGCAACTGAGCCAAAAGTAACGTAGATCTGTCCGACCCGCATGGGCATCTGGAACCGGAGGCTCCATGCTATCTTCGACGTCGTGGACCTGAATGTTCTCGAACCCATGTGTTGTCCCAAAGCAGGCAGCTGGGGGTCAACAATGACGCCATAGGCATTGGCATCATCAAATCCAGTGCACTTCCAGAACACCACGTTGCTGCGATGCCAACGGGCGTTCAGAGACGTGGGAATCCAGGGCGTCACATGACTGACTGCTTCCGCCCAAGTCGAGGCAACATCCATTGCACGTAAGGGCCCGACAGGTTAGCCCAAGCAGCAAAAAAAACACTTGGTACCGGCCCCACCACTGGGAGGTCTCGGGCCAGAGGGCTGGGTTTAGGGGTTTAGGGGTTTAGGGGTTTAGGGGTTTAGGGTTTATAGGGTTTAGGGTTGGGTTTGGGGGTTTAGGGTTTGGGGTTTAGGGTTTAGGACGCCTCCAAACCCAGGAACCCTTCGTGGGTGGGATACGGTGCTGCGCTTCGCACGCAAGCCCTGAACCCGAAATCCTAACCCGAAGCCCTAAACCCTAAGCCCCAAACCGTAATATATGGGCCTTAATAATTTGAACAGGGTGTTGGGGCCAACCCCCAAAATTGTATGGGTAATTGTTAGGGTTTCGCTAGCCAGAGACCACGAGAAACTAGTGCTTCTTTGGTCAGAAGAAAATTCTGTTACTCAGGTTTCAAAAAGGTGCTCAAGGGATATCTACTCCAGAAAATCAGCGTCCACCTAGCAAGAGCTTAGATAGAGGGATTTTCCCTCTCTACAGACGATACTCCGCGAAATGTTGTCGAGATACTCTCGATGTCTCACGTCAAGTGCCGTCTACTGGAGGATAACACACCACGGAGCCACGGAATGCACTTCAGGGTGCCAAACCTAGGCGAAACATCTTCATAAGAGGCGCTGCAAATAACCCTAAAGTCTAAACCCTAAACAAAGTGCCAGTGGTCTGTGCTGAAACCTGCGGTCTCTGCTGGGAGCTGCTCATGCCTGACGCGTGTGAGTTAGCTACTCGTGACCGATGCATGGAACAGTAAGACTGCAAAGAACGATAAAACAACATTAAACTAGCAAGACGAAGAAGAAGATTGCGACCAACAAATCCTTAGACCAAAGAGTGCGACAACAAGGTACCGAGATACAAAGGAGGCAGTGCAACAAGTTTTCCTCTGCGCTTGTTATAGGACCCATGACAGCATGGAGCTCCTGAGAAAGAAACTGCGTGCTACTGCACCATGACACGCTGCATCTGGACCCAGCGTCGAAATAACATTTCAAAAGTCCGATGCCGCAAGCAGCTCACCACTTGTCAGCCTTGCTGTAGACGTAGTTGGCCACGTCCTCGATGTCATCGGGACCCAGCTTCTCACCGAAAGCAGGCATGGCGCCGTTGCCGTTGGTCACCTGGGTGATGATGGCCTGAACGTCGTACTTGCCGTACTGGACCAGGGCTTCCTTCTTAAGCTTCTTCTCCGCCACAATGGAGTTGTTCCCACCCGCGTGGCAGGCAGTGCAGTTGCCGTTGAAGATAGCCTCACCGTTCTCCAGGTCCGCAGCAAAAGCAGGTCGGCCAGTAGCCACGGCGATCAGAAGCCCCAGGGCTGCACCGACAGCAAGCGGGCTCCAGGAAGCTGACTGTGGAGTGCCGTTGATGGCGCTTGGCTGTCCCACCACAGCACCCGACTCAGTCTGAGGTGCGCCCTTCGGAAGAGTCGCAGGCACGATGAAGCAGCTGGCACCGTAGAGGGCCAGGGAGGCAGCGAACACGATGCCAGCAACGCGGGACATGGTCTTTGTGCTGAGATGGAAGCTACAAAATGGCCCCTTGCAACAGCCAAACGCTTTGAGCAACGAAACCAATAAAAATCTGGAATAGTAACGTCAGACATGACAAAGTAACAGCAGAAGCTTACAAGTGCACCATGCAGAACGTAATCCACATAACATTTCTGCATACGCGCTTTAGGCTATGTTTATGTTTGTATGCATGCATGCATGTATCTATGTGCGGTTTCTGCGCAGAGAAGCAAATCGGAACCCCAAAACGTGAGCAACTCGGAACCCCCCGAAAATTCTTCAAGAAAGACGCCTCAGAAGCCGGTCGCTGTGGGTGCTCATCCCAAGGGTCACCTGGGGTTCAGAGCTTCAGGGGTCTTCTAGGATTTAGGGTTTCGGTTAGGGAGTTTAGGGTTTAGGGCTTCGGATTTAGGGAGTTTAGGGCAGCGCTGAAGGCTCCTGGGTTCAATCTCTAGGTTCAAGATGCGGGCTGCTAAACCCTAAACCCTTTTAAACCCTTTCAAACCCTAAGCCCTTTTAAACCCTAAACCCTTCTAAACCCTTTTAAACCCTAAACCCTTCTAAACCCTTCTAAACCCTTTTAAACCCTTTTAAACCCTCAACCCTTTTACCTAAAGCCAGCGGCCATCGTCTCGGCCACCAGCTCAACGAGCTTCAACTCGCTCTGCGCCTCCTGGAGTGGGGGGGGGGTGGTTGTGACAACTTCACAATTTAGGGGCTTTAGTGGTTTTAGGGTGTTTTGGGGGGTTTGGGGGTTTGGGGGTTTGGGGTTCAGTGGTTTAGGACTTTAGGGCTTTTAGGGGTTTGGGGTATTTGGGGTTTGGGTGATTGGAGTTCAGTGGTTTAGTAGTTTAGGGCTTTAGGGGTTTTAGGGGTTTGGGGGATAGGAGTTGAGGGTTTCGCGGTTTAGGGTTTAAGGATATAGGGTTTGTGGGTTTAGGCTTTTTTTTTTGACACTCACCCTCGGACTCGGGGTTTCGACTCTCACTCTCGCACAAGCAGGCAAGGCTCCTCATACTTCCGCAGTTTAAGAGGTTTTGGGTTTGTATTTAGGATTTGGGGTTTACGCTCTCACTCGGATTCTTGGACGGAAACATGCCAGCCTTTTAAGTGGCAAGGGTTCTACGCCAAGGCTCACTCTTGGGGAATTTTCGCGAGTAAGCGGGGTTCGACACGTGGGGGTTTCCGAAAATAGGGGACCCTAATATAGTACCTTAAATTTTCCCTAAATAGTAGGATCCTTACTATAAGGACCCCAAAATAAGGTACCCTTTGTTTTCGGAAACTCCCACATGGGTCATGGGGACTGTGAAAACGAAATTTGGGGGGGGGTGTTAGCAGACCGGAGAGGCAGCAAGCGGTTTAGGGTT